ATACTAGATGGGATACTAGCCCTTTCAAGTGATAAAATCAGAGAAAGAGTTGTGGTCATGTGCTAAACTGACGATACACCATAAGACAAAGCTGTTTGAATATCAGGAAACTATTTACACACTATTGAAAAAAGAACAAACGCCTTATAATATGGAATGAATAATAAAAAAATTAAATAATATTTTACTGAAATAAATATTCCTATTCTCCTTACTATGAATGTGGCCAATTCGCACATTTAAAAAACAAAAAAAATAGTGCGGTTGTAATAAATGCGTATTATTTTAAATTTATTTGTGCTTGATACTAAATAGAATGATGTATTAAGGTGGCACAAGTCGCGGGCTCGAACTCGCTGGTGGGCGCGGCCAAAAAGCACGCTGTCTCACCTGGCATCGTGCCCGACAGAGATAGTATCAGTGATGAGCATATCGACACTAGTATTCACGCACGTCTTGTTCGTACGGCATTCAGAACCGTTTGAACAAAAACGAAGTTATACACGAACACGATGCAACATTTATACAATATACTAATATAATAAAGCAGAAAATATAGATCTTTACTCCGTCTAAAAAAAAGTCCGCGATACCATATGTCTATTTTTTATATACTCGTATAAGCCACAATTAGGCATTTTTATTTTGACAAAAAAAAAATGAAAATTTAATTATTAGGCATGGCATATTTATCCTTACGAACGAAAGTTACTTCATTATCAAGACAATTTTTTGAAGATAAACTTCGTTGTTTATGCCATGTTTATATAGTACATAGTTGAGATAATGTAAAATTAAAATAATTCAATACTTGGCCTTGACGCGCAAACAACGCATAACCCCTAGCCCGGTGCGAACTGAGAAGCCAGTATTGAAAGCTTCTATGAGCGAGGTTAGGTTAGCCGTTAGTTCAATCATTATCTATATCTACACAAATAAATAAAATTGAAGTGTCTGTTATAATGTCAAAATAACAGCTTTTTACTAATTGCATATGAAATTATATACGCTACTTATAACACAATTTTTAACATTTTTCTGTCTGTCTGTCTGTTTGTTCCGGTTAATTTCCAAAACGGCTGGACCGATTTTGACGGGACTTTCACTAGTAGATAGCTCATGTTATAAGTAGTAACTTAGAATGCTTAAATTTTAGAAAAATTATTAGGCGTCCGTGCAACAAAATTAACACCCTAAACTAAATGCGGACGAAGTCGCGGGGAACAGCTGGTAGCTAAAATAAATTCAAAATTAATTGAGTGCTTTTATCTATCTCCCAGGTGAGCGTAACAATGATTAGTTAATTCTGAACTCTTTCATTTCACGTTGCTATGGTATTTTGAAAGTTTAATTGATTAATAAGTTTTTATTTTATTTATTTCTTTAAAAAAAAAGACGTTACCCCCACACTAGGATTTTCTCGTGTATCGTGGAGGCAGTTTACAAACACAAATTGCACAAGGACAAACATCCAGACCCGGAACAATTATTTGTAGGCCATACAAATACAAATACTTGATCCGTGCGGGATTCGAACCCGCGGCCCCCTGCTCAGCAACTCATTGCTAAGACACTGCGCCACGGAGCCGTATAAGAGTATAAGAGGTTGATAGCAAATGTATCAAGAATCATTTCTTGCCTACACACTTTTCATGTATCGTGTACGTTTTTCTTTAAAACTGAATAAAACCGCGCATAGTATGCCGACAGATAAAATAAAAGTACTTCATTAATTATGACAATTTTTCCATACATTATTATCAAATAAAATATTTGATTGCAATTATAAAACTAGGTGTCATGTCATGCCATGCATCTCGGACACATGATGACGCGGGTGAAACCGCGAAATGATTAGGCGCTGCTTTATCGCTTCATATTATACCTCTGTGGCTCTATATACCTAATATAGATTGCTTATTTTATTATGTTTAGTTTTTCCGAGTGGTTATGCAGCGATCACTCAAGAGTTCGGCTTCGAACGTGTGTAACTGCAAAAATTATCCCACGGGAACGAAATATTTTATATTACTGGGAGCCGCGGGTTCGAATCCCGCACGGAACAAGTATTTGTATGGCCTACAAATAATTCTTCCGGGTCTGGATGTTTGTCCTTGTGCAATTTATGTTTGTAAACTGCCTCCACGATACAGGAGAAACTCCTAGTGTGGGTGTAACGTTTTTTAAATAAGAAAAAAAAAATTTGTATGGCCTACAAATAGTTGTTCCGGGTCTGGATGTTTGTAAACTGCTTCCACTATACAGGAGAAAATGCTAGTGCGGGGGTAATGTATTTTTAAAAAATAAAAAAAAAATAAAATTCCAGACTATAACCTATCTCTGAGCAAAATATCATCCAGGTCCCTTCAGCGGTTCTGGCGTGATTGAATAACATACATCCTTTCATTCGTCCATCCAAATATCCAAACTTTCGCATTTATAATATTTAGATAATAATTGTAATTAGTTCTGCTTACCTATAAATTTTTTTCAAAAATACTTACCTGTCTTCTTACTTTTTTTTATATATACTCAATATCACTAAACGTAAACACAGGTTTTTATCAAGACAAGTGACCCATCAAGATTGTTTTCTTAGTACTGACGTACCTACCTAAAGTTTACAATTTTGTGGCCACGACGCGGTGACGTTTTGTGACATTTTGTTGTATTGTAGGTTGTAGGTATCTAGGTAATAACAGTAGGTACCTATGAAAATCCCACATAATATACCTTGTTTGTCCGCCGCAAGAGTCGTCTAATAAATAATTAAACTGTTTTGTAATTCTTTATTTATTTATAACACTTGCATTGAGAGCCGTGGTAGCTCAGATGGTTATCGTTCGCCGTAAGTATCACACTACGCGAGCAACCCGGGTTCGATCCCCGTCGGCACCAATGAAATTGTTGCAATTTTATATAGTAATCGTATATTATAGACTTAATTTTTTTTCTTTTATAATTATATTATATTACAGACGAAAATTTTACAAAATTGTCTGTCGTCCAAAACGCATCATCTCTTTCAATTATATCAATTTCCATGCTGTCTTTTGTCTTTGGCGTCCAAATTACAAAATAGCAAAACTTTTCGTTTCGAATAAAACTCGAATAAGCCCGCGTCACCGCCCGTGCATGTGTGTGTAAGCGTCGTCCTCCCGCACCGCACCGGGGCAAACATTATTCAGTGAGATGCACGATAATTCATAGTAACATACGCGCGTAAAAAAATACGAAAAGGCCTTTGGAAGAAGGGGTTTTATGAAAAAACCACTGCATAAATTAATTACGAATAAAATTTCTTGAATTCTTCGATAATTGAGCTGTGTCGGTACCGACTTTGTTTTGGAAATTTCACACTTCTTTTATTACTAATTTACGCCCAAAGTTGTGTTAAAATTGGCAATAAAAACGAATCTTTGGTAGCTCGTAACTTTTTAAAAACTTTTTATTTTACTATTCTGTTTCCGTACAGACAAATTTGATAATGAGACAAAACGATATCATGTTTAACTTTGGATGTACACTGTCAAACAGCGTAGTAAAACCCCTCCGAAATTTGTATGGAAATCAATGGAAATATTGTCGACTAGTGTCACCTTAATTAGTAAATATATGCCTTATTTCCAATTGCTTATAACTCGGTCGATAAATAGTAGGGATTCCGCGCAAGCGGATCAGTTATTATCGGCCAGCAAAAATGAGCCTTGAAATTATTATCGACCAGCAAAAATGAGAAATTAAACCTTGCAATAATCGATGATTGAATGATCGACCTTCGGGCCGACCATTCAGTCATAGATTTTCGGCCGCGTAGTAAGACATAAATTGATTTGATGATTGCATAATCATTGAAAGGCAACCATTGATGCAACAAAACACAAGTACGTAACTCAAGTCAGTCTTGTGAATATGCTAAACTAGCTGATACCCGCTCGCTTCGCTGGGCGCACGATAATATTATTGCGGAACCTATTTATTTTTTTATGGAACTATCGTAAAATCCGCTCTTAGTGACTGTAGTTCACAAATAAGGTTTCGTGTAATTTGACAAACGAAAAAAAAAACATTAGCAAGTATATTCAAGCTTCAATTTAAAGAGAACAAATATATAGTAGAGACGCCACGATGATAGTGCTTTTGATTTGTTAAGCAGACTTAAGGAACAGGTGATGTCTAATAATAATAGCAACTTAAAATGACCCGTATTACGTACGCTCAAGGTTCAGTTTTATTTCAGTTTTGTAACTGGCAAACTGAGTACAACTAGTGGGAATATACGTTATATTTTCAACGTGGTATTTCTTCAATGTAATCTATTTCATACAATGAACTTTCAATATGATTTTGGAGGATTACATCTTTAAAGCTTTTGAAATAAGTTATAATAAGTTAATACAATTAGTAACATTATATGATTTTAATTCTAGACTATGAAATATACTATGTAAGGCCGATTTTGGATTGATTCTTCGATCACATTTTAAAATTTTTAAATTATGAACAGCTTTAAAGTTGAAGCCGATAATATAAAAATTGTATGTTATTATGATAAAAATATTATAGACATAGCTAGATAAAACAGCACAGTAGGTAAAATAGCAATTGCAACCAATATCAACTTTGTGGCTACTAGATACAAGGATCACTTTCATTTGCAATTGGATAGTAGACACCATATGTTTTTAAGGTAAATTAGGATTTTTATTATTATTACAAATTAAATGCTAATATCAGAACAAAAAATTAGTTACTGGTATTTTAAAAAATCGTTATGATATCTCATAAATAATATTTTAATGGATATGAGTGTCTACTACCCTCTTCCTTTTATTTTATTTGGCTTTATAAAAAAGCAACGCTTGGAATTAACTCACACAATTACAAAAGCCATAACACGTTACCACAAATTTGAACTATAAAGGTTCATACAATAAGGTCCATTACAAATTGTTACTCATAATTCGGTTGGAAATGAGCACTTTCATTCCGTCGATCCATTATAAATCCTTCTGCCTCGTATCGCTGTACTGTGGCACTTGTTTGTACTCCGGGAACGGGTACAGGACGAGATGGTCAGCGGTTTTATACCACGGAATGAGACCATTCTGAAAGAATAATTACAAGTTACATTATAACTACGCAAATTGTTTTAAATTATTTCATTATTATATATTTCATGCCATATTCCGTTCTTCTTCATCAACCTACTACGTCTGTTGAAACGCCTGCATCGTCTTTCTAAGCAACAAATCACAAATAACCTACACGTAGTAATTACGTTAATTTTAATATGGTTCTTTGTGCTTGCAATATTTTATGGATCTATCAGACAGAGGGCGTTCACGCGTTCAAGCGTTCTACGTTCGCCTTACATCGAGTTCCGCGTCCGTTGTTGTATTACGTTACATAGACATACCCAAACAGCAGCCAGCAATGTAACGCGAACGCGGAACGCTTGAACGCGTGAACGCCTTCCGTCTCATAGATCCCATAACTGTTGTGAGTATAACACAATCGTCTAAGTTACCGTTCAAGTTGAAGTACTTCAAAATAGCCCTTAGACTCCTGAATAAAGTCCATAACTGGATATGAGCCTCTCGTCAGTGAGGCTTCGTTTTAGTCGTCACATACGTATATTGCAAGTCACAAGATCGTTTTGGCATATCTGTTAGTTGATTCTTACGACACATAGGTGACGAAATCGCGTGATGGATCCTCTTAAGCCACGACCTCACGGCAAATCCATCTGTATTTTATTTCACACTACACACATGAACTTAGAAGTCCTCCTTAGTAGTCCTTGATAAGTACATAGATAGATAGATAAACCATTTATTATTTCTCCAATCACACACTTAAATTCAGTGACTAAACTAGGTACTAAGTAATGTATTACAATAAAAGTTACATAATATTAAGATCTAAAAGTGCATGTGTGTTTTTTTTTATAGGATAAGTGTGTCAAACGAGCACACAGTCCACCTGATGGTAAGTGGCTGCTGTGACCCATAGACATCTACATCTATCCTTGTTTGCGAATCAAAATGCAAATGCGTCGTCAATCGTAAGGAAGATGGAATACCTCATTTCCAGTAAAAAGGGTCTCCGGTTCTCTCCACTCATTATTACAGTATTCTGTGAGAGCGTGGTCATTCCCCGGTCGAGCCGACCCATTCGTCCTACAACTATACAATTAATATAGCTGCAGCATGGCTCTACTACGTTTAGCAGTATTGCAGTTTGACTTTGAACATTTGCCCATACTGACCAAGTTGGGCAGATGGGCGCAGAGGTCAATCGCACTAGTAACGCCACTCTTCATCACAACTCTAAAATTTAGGCTCTGAGGTATTGAGTTGATATTCCATTAGTGGCTCTACAACGGAGTATCAGTGAATATTTTTTTGATTATGTACTTTCTCACTTTTTAGGTTTATGTTACAGTTTAAAAGATAAAGTTACGTACCAAATTTGTTCTCTTGTTTGTGCCTCTGCCGTAACCGTTCCAGTGGTTACCAGCCACGCCTATTAAATCTCCAACCTGTACAAATTTTAAATGATTATATAAATTAAACATTTCGTTTAGAAAAAAAGCCACTATTCAACATGGAGGGGTTACAGACACAGTGAAACCAATCTTCATCATTACATCATTATAGACCTTCAGATGTCCTAAGAGGAGGAGATGGCAACGGGGAAGCGGTCTCCTCCTCCCCCAAGGAATGCTAGACAGCACGGTTCAGAGCCACGTTCTAGAGCATCCATCGACTTCCTGCATCTCTTACCAGATCGTCACTCCATCTAGTGGGGGGAAGCCGTACACTTCGCTTGCCGGTACGAGGTTGCCACTCGAGAACCTTTCTTCCCCATCGGTTGTCGGTTCTTTGAACAATATCGCCGGTCCATTGCCACTTTAGCTTGCTGTTCAGAGTCAATAATATTGATAATAAAACCAATCTTAAAACTATAAGTACCCAAATGATTTGAACTGATAGAATCGCGATAGAAGAGAACTGAAACAGGATATGGGCAGCAGCGTCTTCTAATAAGTACTAAAAGTAAAAAACTGCGGTTGCCAACCCGCTTGCCAAGCGTGGCAACTAAGGCAAATATCCCCCCTATGTGGCAATCTATGGAGGAGGCCTATGTTCAGCAGTGGATTTTAATAGGTTGTAACGGTAAACGGTAACAATACAAACCTGGAAAGAGATATCCTCCTTTCCTTGAGCATTGTGCGACATAATAGCTCGGCGATCGTGAGCGTTCTGACCGCCGAAGTAATAGATGTCGTCCAACGAGAAGAAACTCTCGGACGCATCCACACGATTCGTCTGCATTATCTCGTATGCAACCCGTCCCACCTGAGAAACAATACTGGGTAAGTTAATGCATAAAATGATGTGATAATGTACTCCTGACCGATTTCTTTTTATACGGGGTAGAGGCATGCCGCAGCTATAATATAGTTGTAGCACAAATGGGTCTGTTCGATCTTGAAAGAACCACGGTCTCAGGCAGAATACCAGCTTAAAATAGCAGCTTAATGCTGCCGTTTTTATTGGAAACGAGGCATTCTATTTTTGCATTTTGATTCGTAATCGCAGATACGTGCCATCAGGTGGACTGTGTGCTCGTTTTTCACCCTTAACCTATAAAAGACGGACTACGACTACGAGTTCCGAATACTGCGGGATGTTTTTTTTTAAAAAGAGTGACAAAGGAGAACACAGTCCAACTGATGTTCAGTGAATGATGTGAGTTGTAATCCAGATACCTATCAGCAGATACCTGAGGACTAAGATGGAATGTCTTGTTACCAGTATAAAGGTGGTCGAGAAGACGCTGCTATGGGGTACTGGCGGTGGTGGGGAGGCGGATGTGTTCCTTACCTCGGATGTTGTTGCAAGTCGCCGGTCTGGATTTTTTAACTCTAGCGTAAACAACATGGTATATCGGCCTTGAGATCTTTCTGATTTATCCCGTAATTGCCTCTTACGACAACGACACTATCGGCAGGCCTCTGTCACTCGAACGTAGCTACTGCAATAGGTTTCTACACTTTCGGACACTCCAAGCTAGGCGCTGCCGATTTTATTCAAATTATGCATTTAGTAGTAGCAGTATAGCAAATCAAACTTGGAGTTTTTTTTTGTCTCTTTCTGATAAGTATTCTGTCCACAGAGCAAATACAAAGAGGAGATGGCATAAGCTACTTTGCACTGTGATTCTAAGTAGTCCTGACGTCATCACAGTGGGCGTGGCTTTACTTAGTATACTATCAACGTTCGACCTATGCGCTTGTGTCGAAAATCGCAAATCGGTGTATTTTATTGACCGGTGTATTCTCTGATGCTATGGATGGCATCACATTTCATTTGTAAGTAATTTTATAACTAATTTATTAAAAAAAGTTCTAGAAAAATCTCTGTCGGCTTTCAAATGTAATTAAATATATTCGACACTAGATGGCGACACTTTGTGTCAAGGGAACTAAAAATATAAAGGTACGTAGAGATCAGTATTGGTAAAATAATCATACGAAGGTGTTCAAATTTGTTTTGCATTCAGTCCTAAAGAATATTTAATCGCCAAAATATTATTTTTATAGTTTTTATAATCATGTTGTGAACAGGCCGCCATCTACCGTCAAGGTAGCTAAACTACATTGCAACATTGATATGAAACGATGCGAGTAGTTTTACTATTTATCGGTAGATGGAATAAAAAAAGAGGACGGGGCTTAACATCCCCTCACCCCACAAATTGTCACGCGCTATTACATATGTCATCTAATTACAACACCTCCTCTTTGTATTTATTTGCTCCGTGATTCTGTCCATTCAATTGTATATCATATATCATTTATTTACGTAACATTCAAATATTATATAAAATATTAAAAAAATAATAATAATAAAACTAAAAATAAAAACTTAAATTATCATACAGTCCTAGCCTTACGGTAGTGTCAAGAATGCTGGCTGCGTTTTTTCTTAACATTTACTTAGCCTTTGAGTGAAAAAAAAGAAGCAGCCTTCTTCACCAAGTAGCCACTAGGCGCGGATACAGTTCCTTTAGGAACTTTCTAAAGTGTTATGGAACTTCTTTGTAATATAATATTCCATTCGATTAAAAAGCATTATATTTTTATCAATGATTTTCGATTTATGATTTTTATACAATTTCACTGATATATCGATATATCAAAATATTTTTTTATAGGATCGAGTGACAAACGAGCACACAGTCCACCTGATGGTAAGTGGTTGCTGTGGCCCATAGACATCAACATCTATCCTCGTTTGCGAATCAAAATGCAGATGCGTTGTCACCCGTGAGGACTAAGATGGAATGCCTCTCATCCAGTAAAAAGGGTCTCCGGTTCTCTACACTCACCATACGAAACACAGCAGTGTTAAGCTGGAATGCCTCTCATCCAGTAAAAAGGGTCTCCGGTTCTCTACACTCACCATACGAAACACAGCAGTGTTAAGCTGCTATTTTACGCTGGTATTGTGAGAGCGTGGTCCTTCCCCGGTCGAGCCGACCCATTCGTGCTACAACTATACTACTAATATAGCTACAGCATGGCTCTACCACGTATATGTTATGAAATGGATGTTAATTGTTAATATTTTCTTAAAATATCGCTATATATCGTATATATCGATATTTTTGGCACTTTCTGCATCCCTATTCTATGTCACTTACACAATTAAGACGAATCTAACGACACCCCATAAGGTAAAAAATCAATTAAGCCGTTTAACTTCTCAGATCCCAACATTGTATCGGACCAACTCCCTCAGACCTGTGGTCAGAGGCCAAGGTCAATAATGTTTTTTGTATTCTTAAAACCAGGTCTGTCAACTAATGTATGGAACCTATGCGGCATTACTAACAGCGCCATTTTATTAAATTCGCAGAGAACTACGTCTTACGTACGTAGTACTATTACGTACTATTTTTACAGAAAAAACAACATAGTATTTTAAAATCAATAGGTGAGTACTCCCATTTTAGAGGGTTTCATATAAATTGGTAACTTTAAGAGGGTAAAACAAATCGTTACAAGTGTAATAAGTCTGAAACAGCTCCATTCACAATAATTCTGAAACAGCGCTATCTATATAGTTTGTTAAGTATTAAATAGACTTGCGAAGCCAACTTAGTTGTAATAATTAGTAACGTAATGGCAGAAGGTCGTCATTTGAAGTAAATTCTCTTAATTAATTTCTCGTATAATCTTAGTTTTCGTAATTTAGTAACGAGATTAATTTTAATAAATTTTTTAGAATTTTGTTATAAAATTCTTATAAATAACATTTAAAAAAGAATTGTTTTGAGCACTCATATCTATGGTTCTGAGGGGTCTAAAAACGTGGCATGTGATAATCCAATGTGTTGGACAGAGACTTCATAGATTAAGCTACAAAGTGTTAAAAGAAATAGATATACAATAATCATACATACATGTTTTCGAAAAATATTATCTTCCTGGGGCAGTCGGGACAAAATTAAGACATAATGAAACCATCATTTTCTTTGCAATTAAAGAATTTAGTGATCCGCAGAAACAATTAAAAATTAAACGTTTGCAACTATTTTGCTATTCGTACTTCGCTCTAGAATTATCATTTTCAATTACCGATACGACTTAAGGACCTTCAAGAAAAGATATTATTTCTATCTCAAAGGCCGGCAACGCACTTGCAATTTTCTAGTGTTGTAGTTGTTCATGGGCGGCGATAGGTCAGGTGAGTCGCATGCTCTTTTGCCCCCTGTCATGTGAAAAAAAACCTTCGACAAGGTTCCATCGTGAGCGAGCGCGCGCAAATCTCAATAAGGTAGGCAGTGTTGTTTAAAGAATGTTGTGACCTGGCTGCTGAAGGTGCAGACGAGGTGGTCGCAGGCGGACAGCATGCGCAGGTCGAGCAGCAGGCCGGCCAGCGACTGCGGCGTGTAGCGGCGGTGCGTGGCGGCCGTGCGCGCGATGCCGGCGTCGCCCACCACCTCGTACTGCGGGTACTTCTTGCGCGCGTCCTCCAGCACCTGCTCCAGTGCCCCGTGATTTTTTTTATTTATTGTGCCATTGCCTACAAGGACTCCCATCCAAAGCCAAATTATATAAACAAACAATAATACAAACAACATAAAAAAATAACACTTTCCCGCCATTTTTAAATTGTTTTTCTATCCACCAAAATGAATGATTCTAACGAAAAAATTGGAAAAAGTTTTATAGCAAAAAAGGGAAAAATGCGACTCAAACCGCGAAAATAATTGTGACGTTTATGAAGCATATGCAGTGTCATTAAGAGTAGCACAAAATTGATTCAAGCGTTTTCAGACCGGGAATTTTGATGTCAAAGATGCAGCTCGCTCTGGGCGCTCTCGTACGCATAAAGTCAATGTCATTTTTGAAAAATTGGAGCAAGATCGACATATTAGTAGTTACGACAAAGCCGATGAATTGAGGATTGACCACAAAATAGTTTTGACCCATTTGAAAAAGTCTGACTACACAAAAAAGCTCGATATTTGGGCACCACACAAACTCACTGAAAGAAACCTAATGAATCGTGTACTCATTTGCGATTCTCTATAGAAACCTTATGAAACCGAACCATTTTTGGAAAGATTGAGCACTGGTGATGAAAAATGGATCACCTACGACAACAACGTGCGAAAAAGAACATGGTTAAAGAGTAATGAAGCTTCACAGACTACTACACCAATAAAGTGATGCTGAGTGTATGGTGGAATTTGAAGAGCATCGTTTATTATGACTTTTACGACTAGGCAAAACCTTCGATTCGGAACTCAACTGCTAACTAATGATATTCAAGCAAGAAATTGAGAAAAACGGCCGGAATTGATCAACAGAAAAAGAATCATCTTTCATCATGATAACGCCAGACCACAAACATCTTTGGCCACTCAGCAGAAATTAAGAGAGCTTGCTTGGAAAGTGTTAATGCATCCATGTAGTCCTAACCTTGCACCCTCAGATTTTCACCTGTTCCGATCTCTTCAGATTCTTTGGGGAGTGTTAGGTTAACAACAAGAGAGGACTGTCAAAACTACATGTCGCATTTTTTTGATCAAAAATCCCTGGATGGACAGGAACGGGACTATGTCCCTACCTACAAGATGGCAACAAGTTATCACATAATGATTTCTTATATTTACGCGAACACTACACATTTAAATAAAACTAATTTTACGGATTTTATCGCGTATATTAACTTATTTTATATTTCCGACGTTTCGAGCACTTTACAGCACCCATGGTCACGTTTCGTGCACTTTTGTCACACAATGTGGTCTCTCTTATATAGGACAAACAAAAAGATCTATAAAAACCCGCGTTAAAGAACATATAGCTGACGTGAAGCACCGACGTATCGGGAAGTCTGCAGTTTGTGAACATGTTCAAGATCGTCCCCGCCATTACATTAGATTTGATAGACCACAAATCCTCGCTAAAGAACACCGATTCCTCCCCGGGATGATTCGCGAGGCTATTGAAATTAAAAAACATCCTAATATTAATAGAGAAGATGGCTGGGTGATACCATCTGCTTGGGATCCCATAATTAATAAAATTAAATCCCAACCCAAGCATACAACTACAAGACTTCATGATACTGTAAGTTCATTCTGCGTAGATCGGAACAAAAATTTATAATTTTTAATCTGAAGGGAGCCGTGGTTAACTATGACATTGGGTGCTGAAGAGTGCCCGAAACGTCGGGAATATAAAATAAGGTAATATACGCGATAAAATCCGTAAAATTAGTTTTATTTAAAAATGGCACATATATATTACAATTAAAATAAGTTTCGCGCAAAATAAAAATCACAAAATCTGAATCCAATAAGTGGGTCTATAGTAGAGTTGTTAACATTTTTTTTTCTAGTGACACTGTTGAAAAGTACGAAGTGAATATCAGAACAATGTCTACCGGGTCATCTAGTACACATATGTATAAATTAAATACATACACACATACAGGTCAAACTAATATAATAATAGAAGCATTCACACTCACATTAGCGTCATCAGTCGCCAAATAAACCCTTCTAACGTCAACGACCCTGGTCAGTTCCAGCTGATCGTAGTAGTCCTTTACATGCGTCATGTACTCGTGTATGTGATGGAAAGCGGCTTCTGTTCCCACTTTGTCCGTTCGCCGGATGTGTACTCTGTAACAAATTTTTGGTAATGTTATAAAAATTAATTGATTGTATCATCAACACTGAAGATACTAATGGGCAAGAAACGTTCTCGAGTGGCAGCCTCGTATCGGTAAGCGAAGTGTAGAGCGGGCTACCACTAGAAACTGTTTACTGTTCGTTTTCACTTATATTTATTGTTTTTTTTTTTAGCCAAATACAACGAAATATTATGTATAATTATTAAGGAAAATCTATTATAAAGTATACAATTGTGAGAAAACAATAACCTACGTTTACGACTTAATAAACAAGCTCGCAAAACTTTTATTGCCTATTGTTAATACTTTTTCAATTCATAAAAGTAACAGAAGGCTATTAAGCATTTAATAGCATATACATGTAATATAAGAAAAATTCACTTATATAAGAAAAAGACATATTATACGATACAGTATACGTAATTCATTCATTACAATGGCAGACCGTGACCGACTTGGTCGTTCCTGAATTTTAAATAAATACAAAAATTTTGAAATAGACGCAGATAATTTTGTTTTCAAATTAAATTTTGTTTATAGGATAAGGGTGACAAGCGAGCACACAGTCCACCTGATGGTAATCTAATATGACATCTATATTCTCGTTTGCGAATCAAAATGCAGATGCGTTGTCAGCCGTGAGGACACTTAGATATAATGCCTCTTTTCAGTAAAAAGGGTCTCCGATTCTCTACACTCACCATAAGAAACACAACAGCATTAAACTGCTATTTTACGCTGGTAATCTGTGAGAGCGTGGTCCTTCCACGGTCGAGCCAACCCATTCGTGCTAGAACTATACAATTAATATGTTAATATATAATAATGTATTAATACGTTCTGTAGCGGGCTTTTGACGGGATGTAATGAATGACAGATGATGAATATTTCCTAACTGTAGTGCAGTTTCTGAAGAAATTTCAACAAATAAACATAATTACCCAACAATAGGACTCTTAAAGTTCATCTTGGCGATGGTTTCGTTGATAGCCTTCTGCATACTCGACCTTGGCTTGAGGATGTACTTCAGCATCTGTCCGATCCACCACGACGCCGGGTCACCATTGAATCGGACTATTCTGCACAAGCAAATGAGTACTTTAAACTGTAGCAATTTAGATCTATAATTAATCAATACGTAATAAGGATTTAAAAAAAATGGTAAATTGTATCGTTCTCGAGGTTAATATCCAGGTCTGCAGATTTTATGACTTATTTATCATAATTTTAAATCATACCGTCGATGTTTCCCTTCATCGCCGAGAAAATCGTAAAACAGCACATAAAATTTTAATGAAAAATTTCATTAGTGTCGTCGGGGATCGAAAACGGTGTACTTGCAACTGCAATATTTTAAGGCGAGCGCTTATGATACTCAAGTGTCTGTGGACTACAGCATCCACTCGCTATCAGGTAGTATTGTACAGATGAACTGTGTGTCCGTTTATCACACTTACTTCAAAAAATCTAATGTTTAACATTGGATATGACTGCGCTAATAAGCCACGGGACCTGGGTTAAGAAAGCCGGTGGGAAACCATTTTTACTCAACCGCCTGTCTCATGGTCGCAGGTTCGAATCCCGGGTCAAGCCAAAATCAGTTATTAGGTTTTTCAGTCAAGAAATTCTTAGTAGCAACTCGAAATCAGAAAGTTTATGGTGTTTCACTCCCTAGCCTCACGTAAGGTCGTGGGCCTGCGCCTGATCGGCCTCCATTTAGGTCAGATTGCCGTCACATCGGACTATGAGAATGAGGAAAGAGAGTGTACCTGTGTTTACGCACACACTAGTGTACTATAATTCTATCCTGCACAGATGACTAGTCTCCTGCGGTGAGACTGGCCACCGAGACCGAAATGCGGTCTAGTTGCACCCATGTCACAAACATCTCATGCTAGTGTGCCTCCGATCTAATCCCATAAGCATTTCACAGTATACGTCACACACACTTGTGGAACAATATCTCCTGTTTATTTGATTTTACTATATTCTATTAGTCGTCTCTTACGAAAGGAGATTCGCTTATACCGCCAATAAAGAAAAGAAAAAAGCACTAATATTATAATAAAAAGTAAACAAACCTATGCATACCTATGCGCAAGGTCCTTCGGTATCGCCAGGGGCAGGAACTTTGGCTTCTGCGATATGGAGTCAATAAAGGGAAGTGAGACTACTTTCGCGTCGTATCTTACTGTGAAAGAAAGTTATGCAGTCAAGACTTTTAACATTAAATACGCGGAAACCACTCACCGGATTGTAAGTATTCGCAGTAACTTATTTAAGTGACAAAGGGCACAACTTATACAGGGTTATTTTGCAATAACCGGCCGAATTTGCAAAGAAGGATCAGAATAAGTAATATAGGTAAATAGATAAAAAGACAGAAAAAGGACAGAATGTTTGAGCATTCTGTCCTTTTTACTTTTATTTTAAATTCAAATTTTGTGGTAATGTACAATTTTAACTGATTTCACTGCGCACGCGCACATTGATGGTCGCGCACAGTAAGGGTCGATCGGTAGGCAAAAACGTTGTTGCCAATAAATCACATTCAAATTGGGATAATTTCAAATAAAGCTCAAACAAGCCTTATTTACTCGTATTTTCAAAAATTGCAATAACGGTATATTATTATTTATATTTTTCAACTTAAGTTTAAAATTTAGCTACTCATTGAAAAATAACCGTGTATATTGGGATATTTATTTTTATCCGGATATGTTACTGTAAATTCATATTCTACCGTTTAGAATTTAGAAGTGGTGTTGCCAGCGCGCCTTCGAAGCGGGGCAACTTTAACAAATATATGAGGCAATTTATGGGGGAGGTCAATGTTCAGCAGTGGACTTTTGATAGGCTGTAACCGTATATTCCTTTGCCTTCAATATAGAAACCTGATCATATAAAATATTATTAAACCTGCGCAGTGAAGAAATCACTGTGAGGACATCTATACGTCTAAGAAATTACATTTAGAAAACATAATAAAGTAATTTCCGCTAACTTAAAAAGTGCCCAGTTCCAAAACTCTAAAAAATATGAGACAAACAGACTGTCACTGGTTTTTATTCTACAAAAGAATCTTCAGTACCAACACAGACCAAGATGAGGAACGACCAACTAAACAAAACATACGCAATTTTATTCTCAACCGGGGATAAATATGTCTGTGTACTACAACATTTCCTCATAGGGGGGATATTTGCCATAGATGCCAATTTACCATATTGGCGCACGGGTTGGCAAGCAGTTTTTCAATGAGGGCTAATAATTTTCTGCTCACCAGATGTCGCTATTTGACACTGAGGTAAAGTTTTTTGTTATACAGGGTAATTTAATTCAGAAGTTAGTTTTTAATAAAAGTAAATCAGTTTCTAGCGACTTAAATTACTACACAAAACAATGCGTCAGTGGTTTGCTCTTTAATTTTTTGCACATTTTTAACTTTTTTTTTATTTTTCTACTTTTATGAATATATGTGGTTTGGTTTATTTATTTTTAATCTTATTAATATAAAATATAGCTAATAGTAGTGCAGAACAAAACAATAACCTTTACATTTTCCGACCAAATTAACTTCCTCGCTCTGAAATCTGTCAAAAACAACCTCACTTTCTAGTGGCGCCGCCCTGGTGGCAGAAAAAGTCGTGAATGCCCTCATTATTTGTAGATTTTATCAGAAATATGCTGCTGCCTATCTTCTATTTAATTTCCCTCAGTCGCCTCTCACGACATCCACGAGGTGGTGTAGGGAAGTAGATTATCTTAACTCACCGCTACACGGTTATACTGTCATCTTATTTTAAATTACTAAAAACGAGGCATTCTATCTTGGTCCTCAGGTGTGAAAGCGCATCTGCATTTTGATTCTTAATTGAGGATAAATGTAGATGTCTATGGGCCTCGGCATCCACTTACCATCAGGTGGACTGTGTGCTCGTTTGTCACCCATATTCTATAAAAAAAAGAATACAGCGTTAATATATTGCAAAAACAACACATACCTACAAATCTGATTACTACACATTACATATTAACTAAGCTCTAAGATGATACTCATGTGTTGCACGCATTAAAATTGATAACAACGAATTGATAACCTTTTAAGTTTTTAGTAAGCAATACGTCGTAAAATAATATTTAATTCTCATTTTTCAAAATTACCTGGCCACGGCATCACTTTGTCATCGTACGCCGTTGTGCAACTGTCCGAGATAGGTTCAAAAACATAGTCCCATCCTTTAGTGTTGTACCTCCAGCCTTTGGAATTCAATATTAACGTTCGCTCGGTTGCGTAAGCGAATATTAGGCAATACACAATGTGGTGCAATTGGCAGCCGAAACCGCAGCCCTGGAAAAAAATTTAAAGAAAATTATTCGTGCTAGATTGTGGGATTACATTATCGCCAAGACCATACGAGTAAGTCCATTTTTAACCGACTTCAAAGAAAGAAAAAGGTTCTCAATTCGACTAAAGTGTAGTGTACTGACTTTATTTGAAAGCTGGTGCTCCTCATGTGGTCCCATATAAATTTGATCAAGATCTGATCAGTACTTTTTGAGTTATAAGTATAATGCGTATTTAATTGACTTCGACTACATTGATGAGGTTCTCATTTTATTTATATTGAAGTCGGTTGTACAAAATTTTTAATTTTACTACTTGTTTACTTATTATAATCCAGTGGTTGACCACAATCCGTGGTAATTGGTGATGAAACCCTAAATGGTAAATCGCACTGTCTTAGCGTAACAAAAGCAATTTCTGTCACTAAGCTGCAGTGCATTCACTGTTGTGAACTGGTTTGAAGGATAGGGAGAGCCAGTCTAATTACAGGCGTCAAAGCATTCCTTCTTAGTTCACAGAGGTCCACGTCGAGCCATACCGTTAATAGCTCAGTAGCGCAGTGGCGGAGAGATTGCTAGAGCCCTGAAGGGCCACGGATTCAAACCCCACAAAGTTCTACAATAATAAACAGAAACGATTGAATAGTTGCGAGGTGTGAAGCATTTCTGTATTCTTTCTCGTGGTTAACAAAGCACCTATAGTCTTCTTTGCCTGAATTTAGTTGCGTGTATCTATCCATAGGTAATCATTTGTCTCTATTTGTAATATTAAAAATAAGTGTTCTGCACTAAAACTGTAGCTTTATTGAAACTCGCATAGTGACGTAGCGCTATAAAGCCATTGACCTACTTCGCGACTCACTTTAATCCGTCCTATAAAAGCACAATGTACACGTTTTAAAGTTTGCGGAAATGTTTATTACGGTCCTAATACCTACCTACAGCATTTTATTGCATGGTTAGTTATGAACATACACGGATTTCAAATATGTATATTTTCACACATTTTGTAAAATTCCTACATTCTGTTTTATAGTATCTACTATTTACATAATATATTCGAAGCACATATAAAAAGCATTCTTATAAAGAAAGGATAAATTAAATCATATAAAAGATAAAAATACGTAGACATCATTTTACGTGACAAAGGTTTTTAGACATTTTTTTTTTATATTTTATCTTGATTTTATATATTTTATCTTTATATATAAAACTTACGTGTCACGTTGTTTGTCCGCGATGGACTCCTAAACTACTGAACTGATTTCAATGAAATTTTGCACACTGTGTGCATTTTGGTCCAACTTGAGAGATAGGATAGTTTTTATCTCGATAAATGACCCTCAAAATTTTTTATTGCGAAATTAAGGATTTTATAGGAAGGGTCGTTGAAAAGGGCAGAACAACGTCTGCCTGGCGAGCTAGTATTTATTATAATATATTTTATACTAGCTGTGCCCGCGGCGTAGCTCGCGAATAGAGGTAGAATATTAAACGATTTATATCATTACTGTATGAATAAGTGGTAACAAAATAAATCGATATGCTCAAAGTTCTAAGTCGTTTATGATAGAGCTTCTGTGTAAACGACGATAGAAGTAGACTTAGCCGGGGCGTACAGAAAAAGGTTACGGGGACTACTAACGCGGGATAAAGAAACATAAAGTTGGCCATATGCAAAACAATCAGTACTGAGGTCCACTCCTGCAACGCGTAAAGTTTGACCTTGCGCTTTATTTACGATCGTCGCATAACACGCTGAGTGGGAAACACACTTAAAATAGGGATGTTAGATGATCATCGATGTTAAAAATTAAAACTTCGATGTTTTAACATCGATGTTTGACATATATGTCAAACATCGAAACATCGACGTCAATGAACCCATAATCGATTATTGGGAACTTGCAAACAATGCGAACTCGCGAAATCAATATCAACTAAATCTTGCATCTGCTCTGAAGATTAAAAATTTTGAATAATTCAGAATTTCTGAACGCATCGTTAACCTAAAAAAATGTCAGTATGGTGAGTCAAACTTAATTGTTAAGTGTCTCCTGTAATGTCACAATGGTCACTGCTTTCGCTTTATTTTGTAGTGTCGTTGTCGGTTGTCGCATAATAATTATTCTACGTAAATTGACATTCAAGTTAATTGTTACTTTTCCCTTGCAGTGTATACCCACATAATTTTGAAACAGTGTGTAAGTATCTACACATATACAAAAACCATCGATAATGGTCAACATCGATGTTTTGAGTAGCCTAAAAATCGAACATCGTTGTTGAGCTATCGATGCCAACATCGATGTCATCATCGATGTTATTATCCCTATCTTAAAACTGAAGCCTGAGCCGTGGTAGCTCAGATGGTTAGCGCTCGCTGTAAGCTTCACAGTACTCGAGCAACCCGGGTTCGGTCCCCGCCGGCACCAATGAAATTGTTAATTGCAATTTTAAGTGCTGATTTACCACGTGCTCGGCGGTGAAGGAAAACATCGTGAGGAAACCAGCATGACTGAGAAATAAAAAAAAATTTCGATGACATGTGAATTTCGCCAACACGTATTGGGGCAGCGCGGTGGACATTTCCTTGCCCTAAAACCCTCTCAGAAATGAGAGGAGGCCTGTGCCCAGCAGTGGGACGTAAATAGGCTGCAACTTTACTTTACTTTACTTAAAACTGAAAGGAGAGTTATTTGGTATTAGAGGGATTCTGGGTATAAAACAATATCACTATCACGACATTTATTGCAATTTTGCTACTTTTAGTCGAATAATTGAATATCTCTTTTTTCTGGTTTTTGTTTCAGATGATTTTTGTGATGTCTTGTTAGCCTACACGGCTCTTACAGGCAGGCATATATTATTGTATATATACCTTACAGGCTTGCAACTTCGTCAGACTCATGGACATAAATTATTTCAGTGAGTCTCAATACGATTCACTTGCGAAAAATCTTAACACCGCAATTCAGAAAAGGTTGTAATTTGTACAACGCCATCTATTACGTTCTTTGTGAGAAAACATCCTTTTTTAATTTAAAGAAAACATATTTTTTACTGTATTTTAAGTACTATATGAACAGAACGATATGAACTTCATGCGTCCATAAACAAACAGACAGACCGTCAGATAGTACAATTCTAAAAATTATAAATATGTACTTATTTAATAATTTACAGTCCCCATAATGATTTTAGTCACAAATTAATATACTATACAATATTCAGAAACAGATACAACATGTTATTACCATTTTTATTATATGTACAGATTTAAAGAGAGATGGCGCTGTTAACATCAATTCTAAAAATAAGAGATTAATTGACACGATTGATACAATAAAAAACATAAAAGAACTTATAAATCAGTGCCTACATAGTAAGCAAAAAAGAAAATTTGATCCTCGCCGAAAAACGAAATTGTTAATAGCTCTTAAAATTTGATTTACCACATAAGAGTAAGTACTCGGCGGTAAAAAAAAAATAAATAAATGAGATTGTCAACACGCAGTAGGGCAGCGTGTCGTTAATATAAAGGTTAGAAGCAAATATGAAACTCATCTACAGGAAAAAATTTTAACCTGCCTTTTTGTATCACATTTGTGCCACACCACCATCTATCGATGAAATTGGTTAACTGTTGTACTTTAATTTAGTTTAGATAATAAGGTTAATATATTTTGTATATATTTATTACGTTCTTTATGTAATACTTTTGTTTACTGCGTTTTAGATATAATTATATCATTATAGAACATTATTTTACATCATTTAATTATGATTTATAATATGATATTAATTTTAAAATGTACTTGATGACTCATCCAACGCCACTATTGAACAAATTCGTACCTATACTTAGTACCCATACTTCAGAATATTTGTCATAACTTTTGATGGAATTAACCAATTTTAATGAAATAAAGACTAAATGTAACCTGAATATACACTTAATAATTTCCTTAACTATTCTTATGATATAAATTAGTACTTTATACGTGATACGTTAACAAACAAACAGACAGACAGAAAAATCTAAAAATAGTAGAAATGTATTTAATTACTTATTTTTGGTACCTCTCAATCACTTTTATTAAAAAAATATAAAATGTACAGACATCTGCTATTTACATTTTTATTATATGTATAGATTTTATCTTGATTTTATCTAATTTGAGCGTAGATTTAAGCAAATTAATATATTCTATATCTTTTATATTGGATAATAAATTAAAAAATGTTCCAAATATTATCTTCTACAAATGTACTTACAAACTACTTTAACCTCTTTATAATATTAATTATAAAAGTTTTTTTTTTAATAATTAACGTATTTATAGTTTGCGGTTTTAGAATGGGCATAAGCTAGCAAGCGATAGAGAAGGTAGATTCTCAAGTGGCAGCCTAGTAGGTACTGAGTACTGACAAACACAGTGTTAGGCGACCGCCCACGAAATACATACTATTAAATACATATAAAATACATATATTATATTGTTTATCAAAGAAGCTTATAGTAAGGTGAAAGCGCCAGGTTAGCCCGCGAAATTCAAATTTTCTTACATTTTTTGCAATCTGCAGATCAGTGTCAGGTTATATGTTTAACAAAATATGATTCGCGACCGTAACGAGTACGTATTTACAGAATTATAATCATTATAATCATCAATACATGCTTCTAAGTTCGTATAATTCCATTGTATGGCTACTTCCAGTCATTCAAAGGGATTATATGGACTGATAAGAAATCTATAAGAAATAACTAGTTTTCCTCTACATAGAAAAAATAACAATTCTACTATATTAGGATAGTTCGGAACGAACCTAGATTCGTTTCACCTGTCCTTGTTTATTTCTACCGAATATTCACACCTAGTAGAGCCGGCAAGCTGACGGTAAATCATTGTTGACAGTAGACGAAACGTGTCACCGACCTCACGTAACGTACTATTCACGACAGTAGAATTTAGTACCGAGCAATTTTATTGCATACAA